GGTAAGATAACAATGTCAAAGGAAAAAGAAAATGAACAAGAAAGACTTTTGAGTAGGTAGAATGCTCCTAATTACTTGCTCCATTTTAAAATAAATATCCTTGCTATTTTCAAAACAAACACCTATACTTTCAAAACATCTTACAAAACTTGAAAACATTTTCAAAAGATCAACATCTTTGTATATATTCTTACGAACGAGAATCATTACAAAGTTTGCCTAGACAATAGCCTCTTTACAAAATACTTTCAAAAACCACACAAAACACAATTTCAAACAAAAAGCAAGTGATCTAGAAAGTAACTAAGAGCCCGTGGAAAACCATGGATGAAAAGGGTGCTAATTCCTTCCCTTTTCATAATCTACCCCCCCCCCCCCCCCCCCCCCCCCGAACTCAAAAAAAATGTCAAAGGTCTTTCATGTGCTTTTTCACCTTTCCTTTTGGATAAAAGAAAAGTCGGTGGCGACTCTTGCTAACCGCAACATTTGCGATCAAATGCAAAACCTTCAAGTCAGTTCTCCCACCGTATCACACTATCATAAATAGATTTCTGGATAGGTATGAAGATGACTATTGTAAGCTGGAAGTAACAGATAATCAAGTGTGCAAAGCCATCACTGTTAACCAAGTGAGTGAAGCCCGTGAAGAATAAACTTCTTGTTTGCAAGTTAAGTGTGAAATATTCTATTTTGCATATAATTAGAGTTGCTAACTGGGTTCCCATTAATCATACTTCAACCATCACTATTGGCTTAGGAAAGTTTATTTATGCTGTTGGAAATAAGAAACTGTTTAATTATGGTACTTACATATTTGATCAGACTATTAAGCATGCGGGAACATGTGTCATTCAGATGCCTATTGCCTTTCCTTCCTTTATCTGTGGAATTATTCTTAATCAGCATCTTGGGATTCTAAGTGGTAATGATGTAGGGTGCAAGAGGGAGTCTGCTTTGACCCTTCACTTCAATCTTTTTTCACGAAAACATGTCCCAAAGATTGTTTTCACATTTGCATCTACTGAAAACAAGACCTCTACCAAGGATGACATGATCACTGAATTAAGGGAAGCCTGCAAAGAATTAGATAATATCATTAGAGTTAGATCAGCAAGAAACCTAACTTTTGAAAAGATGATCAAAGAGTTGCATAAGGACAACAACTTTGATGATAGAGTGAGCTCTGAAGAAGAAGATTCTATTGAGGAAGGAGGTTTTGGCTCTGCCAAGTCTACTGGTCCTGAAGACAGTTAAACTATTTGCTATTTATTCTAGATCCCTTTGTTTCTTTTTGGAACTTGTATATGCTTGGCTTTTGAATTCTATGGTTTGTACCTATATTACTGATACACTCTTGAATGCATCCTTCTATTTGGCATATTATGATTAAAAAGGGGGAGAGAAACTAACTGACTAACCACTGACTGAGGGGGAGCTTACTACTTGAGGGGGAGCCTCATGTTTCATAAGATGTTCTAACATCTTCCTTTGCTAACAGCTAACAGCTAATTGAGTTTTTGTTTTTGTTTGCTTTGATGCTGCTATGATAATATTCTGATAATGTGCTCAAATAATGTTTTAGCCAAAATTTGCCAAAGGGAAAATTTATAAGTGTTTGTTGGCAGCAATTTTGATAAAACAATTCTTTGATAATATTTTTCTAAATGTTTTGACATTTGTAGCAAACTCTTTTGAATGATATCAAAGCAGATGTCTTGACATCTGTCTCCTGAACTAAACGCATTACATATCAGTTTAAGCTTTCTGTTTTCTATTTTCATGCGCGCCATAATTCAAGATACAGACTCATAGCTTGCGAAAAATATGGAGGAATATTTTTCTATTTGAATGAATTATATTTTGGCTTGTTTGCATGGAAATATTCAAAAGATTAGAATATTTATTTTTAAGCCCAAGCCCACTGCTGCACCTTTATAAGGACTTGCTTCCTTATTCATTCTGCTGCAACTTTTGAAGAAGAATACTTTATTTCTGTTTTAGAAGTCTAAGCCTTTTTAATTATCATACACTATAGTATTGATTTGATACTTGAGTTGTTATTTGAGTTGTTAACTATGGATCATTCATAAGCTTTTAAGTATTGAATGATTGAAGTCTTTAAAATTTAATATTTCTGTAGTTCTTCACTGTAAGTGATTGAAGGGATTTGAGGGGAGCCTCATACCTAGGTGTGTCTTATATAGAAGTATAGCATGGGTAGTGATTAATTGATTAGATCGTAAACTGGTTGTTTGTTGAGGATCTATGAATTGATATTATTTAGTGGACTTGTCCCTAGCTTGGTAGCCCCCATAGTAGGTGTTGATGTACGCTGAACTGGGTTAACAATCCCTTGTGTTTTTACTGTTTTACTTTTGTTGCATTTTACATTGTCCTCGGATATTTGTGTCGTGACATCTCCTTCGATATCTCATATCTGATACCAGAATTTCAAGGAAATTTGTCAAGAAAAATGTCTGTGATGCTTGTGATCCAAAACCCTAGTTTCATATCAAGAATGATGAGAGCACCAGTTGAATCAACTTTGAGTAAAGTAGTAACCTCAATTCATAGGGAAAATCCTAATGCCAAGAGCCGTTTAATCCCGTAACCATGGAATTGATGATATGCATGAGATGTATATGATGTGACGAGGGATCTTAGGGACAAAAATTAAGGTATAACACTTATTACTAATATTTTTATAATTCATTTCTTATATGTGTTATTAATATTGTATTTGAAACAATTTCAAGGATGTATCATCTCTCACTTCCCTCGCATCACCGGGTGGAAAGCTACAACATAGTACAATGAGGATTGGCCTCATGCAACTACTTTTGTTTCATATAGATGGAATACTATTGTCGAGCCATTCAGAATATCTCTTGGCCATATGGTACCAGATGACATTAGCTTTTGTCCATATGAGAGTCACCGCCAGATACAATTGTTTGACGTCATCTCTTTATACTTTGGATGGATGACATGTGGGTCATGTCTTATGCATCCTTATCTGCTAGAGCGAGCGATGCACCGGTTTGACTATATGCATATCATTCTAAGACCTCCCTATGAGGTCGCTCCTCCCAGCGTCCGTCGCAGAAACCTACAGGATATACTGAATAATTTCATGAGTCGCCTGATACTAGAGGAGTATCATAGGGAGTCAATTGTTAGACACTGGGCTTGTGCTAAGGGCTACATGATATGATTCTATTAAGTGTCACACTGAATCATGACACCAGACGCTTCTAAAGTACCACCTAGGTCAGTTAACCTAGAGGTACTTGAGGTTCAGGATGAGCAGGCAGAGAGTGTGACAGCGGTATGTTGGCATGTTGCAAAGATGGATATAGGAGCCATAGAGGCATGGCTCTTTGAGGATGGTTCTCCCCAGTTGACCCTCGTGTAAGTCATGGTTTTCGAGTTACAGAATATTGTGTGATACAGACGGAGGAGGAGGCAGACAGTTAGACATATCCAGTAGTTTACATTGGCATGTTTTATGTTTTTTGTATTTTCGAATGTATTTTCAGACTCCTATTATCTATGAATTATCTGGACTATTTTTTATTAATGTATGAATGTTTATCATTTTTTAACTTTAAATTACTTTGATTTTACGTTAATTTAAGTTAATATAAGTTAAATTATGAATTTTGATCTCATAAAAATTGAATGTTTGGACAATGGTGCTGGTCGAATATGAATCAGGAAGGGTTCTGAATATCCATCTCTGAAATAATCCTCCTTTGTATTTATCACGCTTTAAAAATCTTTCATGGTACATTTCAGAGATGCATCTCTAGATTCATCTAAATATTTAACGGAGATGTATCTCCAAACTATATTTTATTTAAAATGTGATAAAATTCAGAATAACACATATTGGTTGTGATTTAGAAGCATTTAGAGATATATCTCCGAATACAGGAAAAATATTTTTGAATTTTCAAGAGGGTTAGAGGCATAACTAAAGTGAAATGAACATTCTCCAAATTTCAATACTACTGTCAAAGAAAGAAATCACATCAATCACATGTCCTTTTACTCGGTGAAAGCCATGTATGGATATGAACGTGGCAAGAATAGAGCACTAGAAAATTATTCAAGTACCCCCACATAATAGCTAAGGATGTTATGTTCTACTACTCCTATAAATGCACTAATCACTCGAGAATTAAATGCAAGTTATTCAGTAACCCTAAACATCATAGGCTTTACTCACAACACATTGTTGGCAAGGTCTAACCTAGATTCTGCTTCAAGAACACACTCAGACAATGTAGCTATTATAATCTTTGAAGGGCCTTTTTGAACATTCGTCAAAAACTATAAAATTAGTTTTAATATATGGACAAACAAATCTTGTTGCTCATACCTTGTGTATCAAGATTCTATACTAGTTCTCATGCTTTTAATTTTTATGAAAATGAAATTAGTTTATCTCTTTAAAACTAGAAAACTTTTTGGCGTTTTTTTAATTATCTTTTCACGAAGTATTTGAAACTTAATGCTACATTGTTCCCAATTCTCCAGTATTTACTCTCTCCATTATGAGATGATTTGATATAGATGAAGAAAATATGATTTAGTAAATTTACTCTTTATCATCAGGAAAATGAAGATTGAAGATTTCTTTAGAAACTCTAAATATTAGTCTAAACAATCATTTAGTTCATTATGGCTCTAAGAATGTATTCCCTATTTTCAGCAGAACCAACAGTATAAAAAATTGTAAGTATAGCTTACTGATTGAGTTATATTTTCACATGTGGGCATAGTTCCAAAGTTTTGCATGAGTTGTTTCTATTCTGCAAAAACCTCTAATGATGATGCTGCAATTTTATCCTAGAACAAACGAAATGATAGGATTTAGTAACATTAGCCTTATGATATTGGGTACCAATACCCCTACAACATTGAGAATTTTGTTTCCATTGGTCTGGTTTGAGATTTCATATTGACAGTTGACGCGGCAGATTAGAAGTTGACCACTATTTCCTTGGCTTTGGTTTGAAAACACCCCACATGTAATACTTTTTGCAGATTCCTGAAAAAATTAAACAAGTCGCCGAATCAAACACCTAATGAAAATAGCATTCAAAATTTTCTGCCAAAGGACAAGTTTTCTAACAACATACGTCTATCATCCGGAGGCAACAGATGCGAGGAAAAAATGAAGAGTTCCAGGTTGTTGATGATTGCTTTGAGAGCATTATCTTGTTCAATGGCATCGTTTAGCACACTATCAAAGATCATCTCATCTCTAATCACCAAAAAATTAAGGGAAATTTAGAACATTACCAATTAGTAAACAGAATATAATCCACTGAAGAAGAAGCATACCTTTCATATTGAGGAAAAAAATAAAGACCAATATAATCACTATCAGGCGGATAGGTGACAAAACTCTGAGGCCAAATAAAATGTCTAGATAACAACTCTACATCAAGCAGTTCGGGGAGCTCTGTTACTGCAGATTTCACTTTTGAGCAAGCTTTGCTTGACAAATAAGCAATAAGATGAAAATGTGTTGCATTGTTCAGTCTAAATTGCCCCCTATAAATGAAGAGGAAAAAGATGAGTATAAAGAAAATGATCGTCTTGTATAAATAACACTCTAAAGGCAATTCAACCATATTATCGAGAACTTTGCATCAATAATTAAGGAAGAGAAATATTCAAAGTAAAAAACTCAACAACAGCACTGAAAATACAATTAAAGATCTCACCACCAAATTGGATCACTAAGTGGCTGAGCACGGCTATATTTGTCAAACTCTGGATAATGCAAGAACTGAGGCTTTATATTTATGGCTTCAGGCTCCGCATATATCTCAGACTTCATTGCTTCTTTGTCACATGAAATATTCGAAGGATCTTTGGCTTTAGGTGATTCAGGCTGATTACAAAGAACATCGTCATTCTTAAGGACTGGCAAAATCTTATCGGCATCATTTTTAGCAAGGCATCCAACCCTTTCACCTTCATTTGATCTGACAAGTGATTGTTTTCTATCTGAGTCACTCTTCTTTTTCATTATGATCCTTTTATACTCAGATGACATATTCGAAGGATCTTTGGCTTTGAGTGATTCAGGCTGACTATAAAGAACATCTTCATTCTTAAGGACTGGCAATATCTTCTCAACATCATTTTTAGCTAGGCATCCAACACTCTGACCTTCTTTTGATCTGACAGATGACATACTCAAAGGATCTTTGGCTTTGTGTGATTCCGGCTGAGTACATAGAACATCTTCATTCTTAAGGATTGGCAAATTCTTCTCGGCGTCATTTTTAGCATGGCATCCAACACTTTCACCATCATCTGATCTGACAAGTGATGGTTTTCTAACTGCGCCACTCTTCTTTTTCATTACGATCCTTTTATATTTAGCTTCAGTTGCATGACTTATTCGTTCGCTTTTTCTTGACGATTCATGTTTGCATTTTGGGCTACTTGGAGCACAGTCCATGCATCTCCAGACTATTTTCCCATAATCATCCCGGTGGATCTTCTCTATACAATAACTGCAGATATATATGATACTTATTAGGCATATTTGACAAACATCAATCAACAAAACTGGTACACAGCATCTTAGGCCTAGTTTTATCATGGTGCAAGGGCCAATTTGATAACAATATGTTTCTTCACTTAAAGTTGGCTATGCATTTTTATGGATGCAGTATTAATCTTAATTGAAAGGAAAGTAAGCTCTAAAAATGAGTATACTGCCTGGGTAATATTAAGATACTAAGAGCGTACTACACCGTATTCAGTATTCACCTAGTTTGTCACATATATAGTTGTGTCGAGTGCCTCTTACAAATTTAGCGAAAAATTTGCTGCCTGATCATTTAAATTCACAAATGTAGTTGCAGTTTATGCAGTGACAATATCTCTCAATATATTTGGTTCCTTCACGAAAAGAAATGATGGTGGCTATATCTTGTTGATATGCTTAACACGAGGACAAATTTTTTTTACAAATTTTAGTTACAACAATGATTTCAATACTGTCTTGTACAGTAAGTCAGTGACAGAATGAAGCAGTTAAACATATAAAATGCAACAGAATAAAATTTACTAAAATATAGAGAAAACTACTTTTGGCTGAACAAGTTGTAAAGACTTCAACAAATAGAATTCTAGAATTCCAACTCATTTTTCCAAATACAAATGACAATACTAAACATAATACCTATGTTGGGCACATGCTTTACACTCAATACAGTATACCAGGCGCTTTGTATCTCCTTTATCACCACACATTAGACAGACTTTTATCTGTGAAAATCATTGAAACAATTTTATAAATGCATTCTAAAACTCGGCCATGAAACAAGTTAAACTTTCAAAGAAAACATTTAAAAATTCTCATTTGAACTGAAGATGAAATAAAAGAAACATTGCGCGCGCACACTCACACACATACACATACGTAAAAAAGGGTATTGACACGGTAAGCATTTGCTCTATGTTGTTTGTAGTGACTAGTGAAGTGCACACATTTCCTGAGACAAATCCAATGCACTATGAAAACATGTGATTAAATTTGGATACCCATTCCCTTATTGAAAGTGGGGTAATTTGGATATTGAGTTGAGAAAATGGGTTATTGTGACTAAATTTTCATCACATTCACATAGTCACTACTTCATATTGATACTTTCAAACTCTTTGAAAAGTTTCAACTTTTACTACTGCTACGACTACTGCGAATATTGCAGCAAAATCAATGGTAAAACATTCAATGTAACAGTTGCAGAGAAAATTAATGCAAAAAAAAAAAGAAAAACGAAATGGAATTTACCTTTTCAGCGTCAATAACGCGCGATTTTGCTGGTAATGGTGAATTGGAAACCCCAAAACGTTGAGGAAGCATCGTTTCGTTCGTCCCTATCTATCACGAACCTCCCTCACGAACTATTCGTATGGCATTGGTTTTTAATTTGTTTTTTTCAAAGCGTAGTTAGATAGAAGCGTGCTTTTTCCAAGTAGGTAACAGAAGAAAGTGGCGATTAGAAAGAGAGAAAAAAACGATTTAAATAAGACTATTCAGTTTTAATTAATTAAAGGGTTATGTGGTAACTCGGGTTTGATTAAATATGCACTTTTTTTTAAACATGACTATTTTACAATAGACTAGTAACAAACTCGTGCTAACGCATGGGTTCCGTCTGCGTACATGTTACACGTTTATCTGACTATAATTTATAAAATTTATCTTTATTTATTCATGTAGTTAACATATACATAGTTTTAAATATAGATTAATAATATGCATTAATTTTTAAATATTGATTCGTATTTATAATAAATGATACAATTAATTCTATAGATTCAATTATATAAAATAGCAGCAAAAGAAGGATTTCAAAGATGGACATTAAAATTATCAGTCTACAGTCGATATCTCATAGATACGTTCACGTCTACTCTGAATTTATATCTGAAATGATTTTCATTAAGATGAGAAATGTACCGCAATTAAATTGAAAAATAAAAAGAACTCTTAGATTAATATACTTGTCCAAAAAAACATAAGTTTTTAATGTTAATCAAATTTTGTTAAAAATTTCTATTTGAATGCGTTGATGTATCTTTCATTATAGTCACAGTTTGCATTAGAAGATTGATTCATTTTATGAGAGATTATTGGTATAAAAAAAACCTTCTTCTAGAACAACCACCACCAACTTCTAATATTAACTTCTTAACAAATTATATCTACAAATAAAAAACATTTATTATTATAGACTAACAGCAGAATAATGGATAAATCTCTACTCCAATTCATTGTCACAGTTAAAGTAGTTCTCAAAAAGACACACATATTATAGTTACTTGAGAGTTGAGACATTGAGACACTTCTTATTATAAGGAATTCGCCTATCAATTACTATAATACAATTTAAAATAACTTAGAACACAAAAGGTGATTTGTACACAAAAATCATTATAAATATTTATAAGATTAAAATTATATTTAATTCTATAATTAAATATTTTACTTTTAGCATCAACCATAATTATAAAGTGATCCATTAATTGATCCCAAATTTTTTAAAATAAATGGCTATATTTTTATTTAATTGTGTTTCATATTAATATGAACTTACTTCTAAAAATCTAAAAAATTACAAAATATCTTTTATTTTGAGTAAGAATTTTTAATTAAAATTCTAAAAATAAAATAAATTTGTAGTAACCAAAACTTGGTATAAACATATCACATTAAGATAAGAAAGACAATTATAAATTTACTTTTTGTAATAAAAATATTTTAAATTGAAAAACTAAATATTTTAAAAATAAAAAACTAAATTATTCATATTTTAGAATGAAAAACTAAATATTATAATGAAAATGTTTTAGATTGAGAAACTAAAATATATGAATAAAATTAATTAAATAAAATAAATTTGTTTTATTTATAAAAATATATAAGAGTGGTTCTAATTTTTAAAATTGCAAATTCTAGTAAGAAACTTGTGCTATACTAAAGAAGAATTTTAAATACAATTATTATATTTTGATTTAAATTTAATTCATTTTCATGAATAATTCATTTTCATTAACAGAGCATAACAAAACATATTTTTAATTTAATATTTTTAATTTAATTTAACTTAACGTTTATTACAATGATAGTTTTTAAATTATTTTTTATTTTATAAAATTTTGATTTATAATTATCCTTTACGTTACTGTTTTTAAATAATTTTTTTATTCTATAAATTTTTTATTTATAAATATCGTTTACGTTACTGCTATATGTTCAAATAAAATTCAGTTAAAGTTCAAATAAATTTTTTTATAATGACATGTCATAAAACCAAACAATTAATGACATGTTGTAGACTAAATAATGGTGCTTTTGTTTGCAGGTGTGAATTGCCCTTTCTAATTGGGCAAATCATGAGCACGGGATATAATTGTTGATAGCAATCTGACATTACTCCTAAAAGCTTTAAGTTGAATGAGTTTAATGAATAATTGCAACAAATACATTATTATAGGATTAATATATTGAATAAATTATGCTAAAGTTGCATTAAGACAATAAAACAGAGTTGAATCGTTCATAATAAGAATCATAAACAGGTAAACAACAACAAAACAAAAGAAAAGAAAAAATCTAGGTAACACTATTCCATAGCAAAACTTGGTCTTCAAAACACATTGAGTTGGATAGAATTACGGGTCTTGCACATTAAAACCTGCAAAAGTGAATCTTAAACATAAGTAGGATGACATAAACTCAAATTTTCACATTTTGCAATCTATTCATAAGTTATTCTCAACTATGAGAGAAAAATGAAAAATTACAGAAATCCATTTGAGATTCGAGAATATGAAATGGCAGAGTATGTCCAAAATACAAAGAGTTACAACATTAAAGATGCCATGATTAGATTGATACCTCTACATGGTTCAAGATGCCATGATCCTAGAATAAAAGTTTAAAAATTTACATGTAACTTGAGTAGTTATGTTCCTTTCCCAATCATGTATTTTATTCCTTCCAGCCAGAAAATAATTCCTGAAATTATTCACGGTTTACATTATTTGTCTACGTAACCTAATTTTTCTGGATAAGTTATAACATAACATTGACTGAAGTTTAAATGAACAAACATAACATGTAAGCTCAAAAAATATAATCATCAATTTTCAAAGAAATGCATAGCTTACCAAAAATATGAAACAACACAAATCGACAGCCCACATCCAAACATATCAACAACCTGATGTTGAAACATTGCATATTTAACATCAATATTTAAAAAATAGATAGGGTAAGGAAAACTAAGTCAATGGCAAAAGAGTCAAATTCAGAGTTAGATAAATTGTCTATCTTCCTTGAACTCGAAGTCGGAAGGTGCAAACATGAACATGATTAAAAAGATGTTGCAAGCTAACTTAAATGTAAGAATCACTAAATTCATACCAAGAAACATGTTTAGTTTATTAAATAATTGACAGGTGATTGTTTTGCATTTTATAGAATGGAGAAAACTGTCAACTTTACATTTCCGGAGAAAACCATATTACAACTTTACATCATCCGACATGAACTGCAAAATATGAATGAGGTATATCATCAACATCAGACATAATCAAAAAATCATCATCTGTTATACCAGCAATCTTAAGAAGATGATCCAATGCCATGCGTTGAAACGCTTCCTCAACAAACAGGTTTTCTCTTTTCTTAAATCTCCCACCAGTCGTCCTGTATGTTAATATTTGCACAATAATAAGAGATAGAGAATTTCTTAGATATGATAATTTGTAGTGATGGTTTCTTTATTTATAGAATTGAAAATTAGACATTATAAAATTGTGATCAGGTGAGAGTGGCATTCCCTTTAAATGTATTTTTCGACTCACTATTATTGTTTGACAGTAGTAAGAATAAGACAAAGCAAGGGTATAATTAGCAAGAGAATGATCAATCAAGTGCATTTTTCCCACGGTACAGATGAGCAGAAAAATAGAAAACACAAATACACAAAAAATCACGGTTTGCACACAATGATCCCACAAAATCAGGGACATTCCTCCCCACTCTCTAACCAATTCCAAACCTCTTATCTATACCACTCTACAAACTTGCTTCTAACAGAAATTCAAACCTATGCTCACCAAAACCTCAGTCCAAAACTCGTATCCTTAGCATTCTCCAAACCTGCTTCTAACAGAAATCCAAACCTACACTCATCAAAACCTCAGTCCAAACCTATCCTAAAATTTCAATTCCTCATTCCAACCCCCAAGGAAAACTACGCTAATCAGCAGTATTTAATCTCCATTCCTCTCACTTATTCTGGGGGAAACAAAAGCACGCCAAAAGCTCTACGAAAATCTCTTAACCTCTCCTCACCAAAGCTCAGAAAACCTAAGATTCAACCTATTTTTTCTACACAACAAACATATAACTTAGCCACAACTATCAATTGATTCTAAACCTACGCAAAGAAAGTTAAGAAGAAGAAGTTGAAGAGAGGAAAATCGAACTCACTGGATTCTAGAAATCAACTTGGTTAACTCTTGATATCAAAAGCGGGATCATTGACTGCAAAATCGAGATCATTGAGGATACATACCCTAAACAAATTTGGAACACAATAAAAAATACAAACCCTAAATCTTACCTGTGATGATAAATCCATCACTACAACATCAATATTCAATAAATCCAGAATTATTTATCATTTGGTACAGTTTTGGCGACAGAGGGATGGGTGTTATTTTCGATAGTGGCGACTCCGACGGTGGTGGTTTGCGTCAGAGGTGTAGAAGAAATATTGATTTTGCAAAAGAGAGAGATTATTGTTGACATTGTAGTCGATAGTGAGAATGTGAATCTATGAGTGGAGGTTTGGGAAGGAAAGAGAAAAGGAATCGGTGACTATGGTATCAAATGACTTTGCATCTGTCAATGTGACTTTTGAGTTGTTATGAGAAGAAGATGATGGATTTTGGGTTAGGAATGGAAACTAAGTGTATATTTATGGTTGCATTTGATTGTTTTGAAATCTGAAAGAATGGGTTGATTGTTTTAAAATCTATTTGGAATATCTTTTATTTTATATTGTTCCAAAAAGTGTATTTAATTGTTTAATGGTATAATGACGTATAACACATTGAATGTATTTAGGATAGAGAAAATTTTCAATTGGAAAACGAAAAGTGGTTTTTTAAAATAAAACAAAAATTGGTATGAAAAAAAATGTTAAAGTGACACATAAGCAATAATAAATGTCAGTTCAATATAAGAGAAGTAAGCTTGTAATAAGACATAATTAACTCTATAATAAGATAAATTAAAACTTGAACTCAAAAGGATAGTTTTGGTTTTTTAAGATATTTTAAAGTTTATATATTTATAATAGATTATTATTAATAGGCATATTTAAATTTTAAACTAATAAAAAATCTAATTTAACAATTTCCAATTATTTTTTATTCAAAATTATATTATATAATAAAATAAATATTAGACATGTTGGAAATCTACTAAAATCTATGATGAATTTCTATCCATCTTGATGAACAAGATTATTATCACCATATAATAACAATGAAAAGAAAGAAAGTTGAGGAAGAAAGAAAATTAGAATTTGACAAAATAAAGAAAAAGATGACGATTTTCTGCAGAATAACTCTCTGCCTACAAAATGTAGAAAATCTTATTCATTTGCAATTGTAAATTCTGTGAATACAAGTTGTATTAATTTCGTTACAGAATAAAGGTTAGTCTCTCTATTTATACTTGAGCTTTCTTGCTCCCTAATTCAAAACCCGAAACTACAAAATCCAAAATATCTATTTTAGACCTAAGTCGAAATACTGTGAAAAACAACTTGCTTCAACACTTCGACATACAATTCGACATACACACTTCAACAAACTAAGCTTATTTTGACACACCTTATATCGAGCAAACATGCCTCTTTCGACACAAGAAATTACGCTTTCAACACACCGTCTAATTCATTGTGTCTAAACTATCTATATTCATCATAACTCTTAGTCTTCTAAACACTTTGATATGCACTCCCTTTGTCATATGATATCTGCAATCTGATTCTCAATTATGCAGTGTTTCAAGTTCATCTTCTCTTCTGCTACATACTCTCGAAGATAATAGAACCTCAGTGTTTGCTTCTGTCATGTGCTGTCAGATTTTTCGCCAGATTGATAGTTAATATGTTGTCGATCTTCATGATAATTTCTCCATAATCTTTATCTATTATCTCTTCAACCAAATTCATCATCCATATTGTTTGACATGCACAAAGAGAATCAATTATATACTTTGCAGGCCCGACCCTAGGGGCAGACAAACAAAGCCTTTGTCTAAAGCCTTAATTTTTTGTTTACTTATATGCATGGTAATGTGTGACACTCGTTTTTACTATACACTAAATGAATAATTTTATTATTGGGTGGTACAATTATCAATGTGCAGTCGGCTATCAATGTGCAACAACTATTTAGCTTTAAGCTTAATTGGAACTTTGGTCCCCCTATTTAACTTTTTTTTATCCCTCCATTATAAAACTATTATTTTAGTTTATTTTTTAAATTTTCTGTTAAATTTTGATCCCTCATGAAATCTGAGTGTATTTTTGAATGACGTGTCATAATTTTTGCTTATTTGTCGATGTCATGTCATTTTAATATTAGTATAATTATTTTTTATTTCAAATAATAAAGCCTTCATTGTTTTGGTGTTAAATGTTAAAATTCAAAAACATAAAATCCTTAAATAATTGTCTCACATGAGACTCAAACATTTGTCCTTCCTCTTTAAATACTGATACCCTTATCACTGGGTTATGCAGACTCATTTATTAATTTTCTAAACAACTTTTATATATAATATATATTTAGATCATGTAGTATAATATTTAGAACATATAATCACAACTTAATTCACATTTTTAATTCAATTTTTTATTTGATATGTTAAATGTTATGGGAATCAGTAGGATTAGATGAATAAGTTGTTAATTAAGTTGTGATTAGAAAATCTAAATAATGGTTAGATTTCTTTCAAAAAGAGAAATACAGTGAGGACAATAACTCACATTTTGGGAAATCTGGAGAAAATATGCAGGGAAGAACAACCACCGTTGCCATAATCATTAGCAGTGTGCTGGTTGTGACTTGTAAGGTGGTTATGGCGAGCTGGTTGTGATTGATGACGGTAAGGTGCCCACAATAGTGGTTCACAATTGGAAGCAATAGTCCTCGCTGTCACTCATCTAACCAAATATATCACCAAACACCTTATGAAAATTATTCAATTGGAGATTTGCAACATAAAAAAAAAAGTTAAAGTTAGTTTTTGAGCAGAGGATAGTGTTAATATAACACATTTGAAAATAAAAAAATAAACTATTACTAATGATAACTAGCATATAAAAAACTAAACTATTAAGTTTTAAAGAAAAACAAAGTTGATGGCAAGCCGAATTCATTTCAGTTTATATGTTCTAAATATTATACTGCATATTCTAAATGTATACTATATATAAAATCGTTTGGAAAATTAATAAATGAGTCTATATAGCTCAGTGATAAGGGCGTTGGTATTTAAAGAGGAAGGACAAAGATTCAAGTCTCATGTGAGACAATTATTTGAGGATTTTATGTTTTTGAATTTTAACATTTAACACCAAAACAATAAAGGCTTTATTATTTGAAATAAAATCATAATTATATTAATATTAAAATGACTTGATATTGACACATAAACAAAAATTGTGTCACGTCATACAAAAATACACTCAAATTTAAAGGCGCCAAAATTCAACAGAAATTTAAATTTTAAATTATAATTATATTAGTTCATCATTAATTTTATATTGGTGACAGTGATTTTATATCAAATAATATCTTGACAATGAAGTTGTATTTTTTTCACATTAAATCTTAGTTTATAATCTTTTTAATTATTTATTTTTATATTTGATCTATCATAGATTTTTTTTTAAATTTAAACTAATGTCAACTAAAATATTTAAATTTGTTAATTTAATATTTAAAAAACTGTTTAAAAGTTAAAATTTAAGTAAAATATATCAAAGATCTTTTAAGTTATTTTATTATAATAAGGTGGTCCCTTAAGTTTTTTTTCTACAAATGAGTCATTTAAGTTAACTATCGTATGCACCGCTGATATTTTTTTACTTTTTTTTTTCAATCTTAGATTAAATCAATCACCCAAAATACATAAAATTGCAACAAAATATATATATTAGCATCTTAAATACATAAAGTAGCATTCAAAAAATATAAAACTAGATCCTAATTCAACAAAAAACACTTAAAAGACCAAGTTATTAAAAAAATTTAAAGAACCAAGATGTTACAATAAAATAACTTAAAGGACTCCTAGAATAATTATGCATAAAAAATATGATATCTCAAAAACATTAAATGAATTGATTTTTTAATAATTTAAGATATATTTTTTACATTACAAAAAATAAAATTTTCTCTTTCTTTATAATTTTTTTATTTAAAAGCCTCAACTTTTTAATCTGTCTTAGGCCTTATAATAGGTTGGATCGACCCTAGTACTCTGTTTCACACGATGATAATGCTACCACTGGTTCTTTTCTCGAACTCCAACCAATTGATGCACCACATAGCATAAACACATAATCAGTTGTGGATTTTTGATCCTCAACATCACTACATCAACTTGAGTCAGTGTATTTCACTAACTTGCATTCTTTTCCTTTATCATTTGTAGGAAATGAAACGCCATAGTCGAGAGTTCCTTTTAAATACCTTAGTATCCTCGCCGTTGTTGCTAGATATGATACATTTGCCTTCTGCATGAATCTACTCATCAAACCTACATTGTATGTTAAGTCAGGCCTTGTGTGACAAAGGTACCTTAATGACCCAATAAGTCTTATCTATTGGGTTGGGTCGACATTATCTGAATCTGAATCTTTTGATAGTTGTAGTTGTCGTGCCGCGAAAAAATAGAGTCGTCACCGAACTTTATTTATCCCGAAGGAAGGGACAATATCGAGGAAACTCGAGAAGGAATGGATAAGATGGTTGTTGTACCCCAAAATTTGCCCTCGTATTTTTCCTCAAGAAATCACATCTTCGGGCTTTTCCTGATTTTTCAACTGGCTCAAGAATCGGTCAAACAGACTTTTTTCGTCCGTCAGACAAAAAATAGGGTTTTCA